AACACACAATCTTATTTTGAGCATGAGAGTGGTTTCATAAATAACAGCCCAGAACTTGCACATCACTTATTAATTAACCAGGAAACTTATAGATCATGCACAGTTTGTACTCAAATATGGTGCATCTGTAAAGGAAATGATTCCTATTATCTAAGGATCCCTGTACCACTGCCAGAAATGTTAACAAGGAATAGGACAGTTTTTTCTGCTATAGCTTGATAAATCATTTCTGAAAAGAAAACCATACCTTTATTGCAGGACTTTTATGAAAGTAATGTATATTAAATAAACACAACATGATCAACAATAGTGTACTAAATCTATAAAATTAGGTGGGCTAGGCTGGGATTCAAACCCTGGACCTGATACTGAGCTATCTACAGGTCAACAGAAGTGTACGGGCCAAACTGTGCTACAATTTACAATATATCTAACCGGAAGTTAAGGGGAGATAACTGTATATATGAAACGCCACAGTGCAGTGGGACATGGTCCTTAGCAGCTGCAGCAGACTACTGGAATAATGCAAGTTTTTTTTCATAAACTTCAAACAGATTATGATACAATATTATACTGGTTGCTATTTATGGTCTGTTCATTTTTAAACATTACAACAATATAAGCTCAAAATAAAAATAGCATAATTAAGGTATTTCATACAGGCTCATGTCAGTGTATAGTATGTGATGGGCTCATAACTTTTCCTCAAAATGAAAAAAAATAAGGAAGCTGAGTGGTATATTTACCCATGTCAAGACTCAAGAACAGTGTCAATAATGACCTTTGCTGAAATTATTTGTCAAAAAATGGTTACTTTTGTCTGAAAAGTAACTTTTGAGTGCAGACTTTGAGTGGCGCAAAATTGCAATGAACTACATTTGACCTATCTGCATAATCACGAATCAACATATTCCATGAAGTCTTGTTTTGAATTTCAGAATATTGATACAATACCTCTTTTTCAATTCGAATGACACCGACACCTGTCCAATGCAAAGTACAAAACTGTCCCTGAGTTATTTCCTTGGCAGACAACTGTGTGTGTGCAGTGTTAAAAGGTGGACAGGTAACACATACCCTGATCACTGTTTCAGCTATTACTGTTAACCACAGGGGCATGGCAGTCAGATGATCCCCATCCAGTGTCACACCCCTGTGCTATTCACAGATTTTACCAAATAGATATCGTAATTTTCATTCTTGGCTATATATGTATAAATATACCAGGTAAACTAAATTTTTTTTATTTGTTTATCAATTTTATCATTAGTTATTATTTATGTAGAGAAACTGGACTGGGTCAATCGTTGGGGACCAGGTAGCTCAATTGGTAGAGCGTCTAGAGTTTGGAGGGTCCCGGGTTCAAACCCCGGTCTTGCTGTTACATTTTCTCCTGTTACATTACTTATGTAGTGGAACTGGACTGAGTTGATGGTCAGGGACCTGGTAGCTGAATTGGTAGAGAGTCCATTTAGATTTTGGAGGGTCCTGGTTAAGAACCCCGGTCTGGCTGTTACATTATTTATGTATTTGAACTGGACTGGGTCGATCGTCAGGAACCAGGTAGCTGAATTGGTAGAGCGTTCGTCTAGAGTTTGAAAGACTCCGGGTTCGAATCCCAAACTGGCTGCTGCATTTCTCTTTCTCCTGTTACACCTATTTAGTTGTGGAACTTCTTTCTACCACATTATTCTAAACCATTGTCAAGTGATTAAAACAATGTGATTGTGACAAATGATTATTCAGGCTTTGATTATTCAGGCTTGTTTGAAGTGAAAAGTTTTGTATCACTATCAGGCGAAGAAAACTGCAACAGGGTCAGACCAGGATTCAAACCCGGGACCTCTAACAATCTATATGTTCACCTACATATAGAGTCACCTGGCCCAGTCCTGCTACACAACTCCCTACTTTTTTGAAGGCAACACCATTTATAACAAAGTTTCAGGTATCCCCTTGTTAAGCAAATATACACACACTACTGAAGAAACAAGATTTCTTCACATGCACCACTGTAACAGGAGAGGAAAAATTGCACGGCCAAACAGCGATTCAAACCCCGGCCGGGACCTCAAAAATTGAGACGAATGCTCTAACGAATTGAGCTACCTGGTCTATAGTTATCACCTTGCCCAGCCCCACTACTGTTGATATGCAAACATCTCACATCTATCAAAGGTACATTTACAGCTATATATCTAAAACACATCTTCAAATTGCCACGTTCCATAGTTCACATCTAGCAGTTTGATTAATACGGCTACGTTGAACCAACATATATCATGTACTCCAAGGCCGCCCATTAAACAGCCTTGGTTTGATAAAAATGGGCAATTGTGGCAGAAAAAAAGATAACTGCTAACATACATGTACTTTTACAGACATTTATCAAAATATTTTAGTAGCAATGGTGAAGCTGGTAAAATTGTAGGTATATTTTAATCCAGCATCGTGCTTGAGAGCCAAGGGTCGAGGATTCGAGTCCCAGCGATGGCACAATCTTTATCACTATTCCTCATCTTACTACAAACTGGTGCTGTTGACTCTCCCTGTTCAAGGTAGGAGAACCCTTGGCGGGGAGTCAAATAACCTGGGTTGGTGATTGAAAAAAGGGGGAATAGTGTAAAAGATGTGCATTGATTAGCTAGGTTGCATAACAAGCATCAGCTGTAGGGAATGTCCCTTTAGCTCAGCGGTAGAGCATCGGGCTTGAGAGCCAAGGGTCGTGGGTTTGAGCCCCAGCGATGGCACCATCTTTATCCCTATTCCTCGTCCTACTACACTAGTATATGCTCAAATCTTGTAATGGCCCAAGCGAAACGTCTGATAGCCTGACCATCGCGCTACCGACATTTTTTCACCTCTGAATGTTAGTTGTTATTATTCTAAATAATGTTTCCAAAAGAGTAACGATTGGCTTATCAATAAGAAATTATACAAAATGGTGTTTAATAAAACGAATTATCGGGACTAAATGATAATAGCAAATGGTTTTAGAAAAGCAACAGCACAATCAAACGCGTGGTATATCCAAGATGGCTGACATTTGTGAATGGGAGGATACTCAAAATTAAGCCCCTCCCTACTTTTGGTCTATCTTTTTTATTCACTAGGGGTGGGGGCTTATTTGTGGTCAAATACAGTAAGTATTGCCGTACCACTGCAAAAAACGGTAGCTATCAACTGGAAACTTTTTCTTTGAAAAGACAACAGCTTAAACAATTTCTGAAAAGAAGTTATACCTTACTGGGCCGAGATTCTAACCAAGCTTATTGAGATCATAGTGGAATTTTCTAGTGGTTTACTTGCAATGGGACAAGAATCCTTAAGTCTGATGGTTAAGGCTGGTCGCTACCTTAATTGATATCCTTAAGTCTGATGGTTAAGGCTGGTCGCTACCTTAATTGATATCCTTGAGTCTGATGGTTAAGGTTGATCGCTACCTTAATTGATATCCTACCTGGTAAGGGTTTGAGACTCTTCATAGCTATACACAAATATGTAGATATTCAAAAATAAGATTGACATTTAAGTAATGTCTCAGTTCAAAGTTAAGGTGTTGCTTTTCTCAAGAAAATGTTCCTTTAACCCTTTCACCACTGCAGACCATAATGGACTCATCCAGATAAATGCACGGTAGAGTTTACTCAAGTTACATATGTAGGGATGAAAGGGTTAAATCATTTATCCCTGAAGACAAGTTTGAACTCTTCAAATTCAAAGATTGGAATAGTTCATTGCAAAATTTCAGGGGTAAACGAGTTAAGGTGAAGGGTACCATAGCATCAGTAATACTAATGTGTGCAACATCTGTTTATAAAGACTTATTAATGACACATTCTCCATTTTAATGTCTACAAGTCAAGCAAACTCAATAAACAATAACAGCAGTAGGAACCATTCAGTATTTCTGATTTCTTCAGAATTTTAATTTTCATTCCATGAAAATGTTTTGAACAAAATGTGTTTTGTGATGTTAATCGTCTACTCTATGAACAATAAACACACATCCCAGGGCCGCGGACATCTGACACACCTGTTGTCAAGGTGTTGCCTACCTGTCCTAGGCATTACAATCCTAGTGTGTGTTCATTTATACTAACTGTTACATATATATCTATAATTATGCATACATTTACACAAGATTGGTAAAAATGGATTTTTTTCTTGTCGTTACATTTAGACACTGCGATACATGGGCATACGTTACATATCATTGTACAGTATGGATGATTACAAAAGCATGATCTATCAAAGACCAGGTACATCCAGACTACCCCCATGTCCATAGTACAGGTATTTTACCCATAGAACCAGCCTTTACTTGTAAACTATTCAGTATAACTGCAGTTAAAACTTGAGTTATGTGAAAACCACTTCTATACATACCTGTAACTAGCACACAATACATATATCTTGTTGAAGTTTAATAAAAGAACCATTTTGAACTCACTAGAATGCCACAATAACAAACAAAAATAATCACAGTTGATCTCACTGTATTCATAATCGCCAACCTTTGGAACTTCCATTAGGGAGATTCTACATGCTCAAATTAAAACATAAATAAAAATGTGAGTTTTTACCCTCTTTAACAAAGTAACCCTTTAAAATGACATAAATGTGAGTTGTTCTTTCAGATGAAATCATTAAATCTTAGAACATAGGAATTGTTTACAAAACTCACTGGTTGAAAATACTAAATTTAAGGGTCCAAAATCGGGAGTCTCCCTCCTAAACAGGGAGAGTTGGGAAGTATGTGTATTTTTCTGTTAGTTTCCTTGTGATCTTGTTTACTCCCCTCTTCTACTTTCAAATAAATATTAATTATTATATATTGTTTTCTACTATTCCGTCTTTGCGTATTGCAGAGTTATCTTCTCTTGTGAGCAGGTATTTATTGTTACGTCATTGGTTTGTGAGAGTCCCGTCATCAATTTTTGAGAAAATGACATAATTTTCTCACACAAACCAAGGACGTAACAATCAATACCTGCTCACGAGAGAAGATAACTCTGCAATACGCAAAGACGGAATAAGATATCTCTATATACAACAGCATTGTTTTTTTGTCAACTACTGGTAAGTTAATTGACAGTAGTTTTTTAGCCTATACCATATAGCCCTGTCAGAGGTGCAAATGGTACCACTGACAGTGATGGTTCTGGTCACAAGGTTTTAACTACAGTTATACTAATTAGTTCAGTTAAGGCGGAGTGATTTGTCTGTCGGTACGAGTACACATATATAATGTATATGTGTGTTGGTAGACACAATATGTAATGCTAGAATGGTCAAAGATACAAGGATGAAATTCAAAAATAAAACTTCGGTCCTCTGAAAATATTCTACAGTAATATTGTCTGAAAATATCATATCTCTATTTCTGTATTTCTTGTTTAAGGAAACATGTGACTTGATACCTTATGGACAAGATAAATACACACACACACACACACACAAGAAATGCAGTATATGGCTATGCATATGTGGACACAATATGAGAACACACAGCCGGTAGTACACATAATGTAACTCATCTCTTCATAACACCCACACACAGTGTTAAGTACAATACAAATTTGGTTAATGATAGCATCTACATTACCAGGAACCAACAGGGCCGATTCCAACAACATTAAAATAAAAAAATATGTCAAAGAGTACAAAAAAGAAATGGCAACAGATGTTTTCAACAGTAAACATAATATATCTTAACTGGAAACAACAACAGGATAAAAATCAACCAATAAATGTAACAAGCAGTATGATTGGATGAAAAAACTGACCAATCAAAAACAAGGTGAAAGTTAGGTAAAAAAATATTTCTAACAAGTCCACTGATTGTTAAAGCCAATTAAAACTCAAATCATCGTTAGCCAGGCATAAATAAATTCATCATACTCATTGATTAGCTGAAAATATCATTTGTTAATTTACCAATAGAGAAAAATATCATTTGTTAATTTACGAATAGAGAAAAATATCATTTGTTAATTAACCAATAGAGAGAGTCTTTTCTCCAAAGAAATTCTTCTATTTCATTACCTCAAAACGTGAACAATGTTTACCAACACAAAAAAAGTTGTGATTAAAGAAATGTTCAGAATCATGTTCCTAGTTTGCATTGCATAAAAAAATAAACATTGACATGAACAATCAGATTCAAAACAAATTCAGATCGGTTGTTGTAAATTCTGAAATGAACGAATATAAAACAAACATGATCATATTTACGTTTACACTTGATTGATATTATGCACCACTAATATTTAAATACATGCCAGGGCCCATGATTATCTTCAAACTCTACCACATGTTTAGACTTCATAGGATTATAATTGATGTTGATTTTCTAAAAAATACATATATAAAAGAATGGTTTTGCTTATATTTTTTCTTTACATTTAAGATCAAAAGCTTGTAATTATACTTTAACCGTGTCAGCAGTGTAAATCTCACATTCCAAAGAACAATAACTATTGTTAATTTTGATAATATTATTTCATCATTGTTTATGTAATGATAATAATGAAATTCTATCAATATGATGACTTTTAATTTCAAGGCAGATTGTCTTCATGCTAAACTATCCAACTGATCATCTTTTATAGAATGTTTCCGTTATTGGCACTGAATAAATTGGGAAGTCCCTTTTATATCAACAAAAAAGTCCCTATATCTACAAAGGGAACCTGATGCATCTGTGTCAATATGATGTTTGGATCACCATGGTAACTCAAATCTTGTTGAAATGTAACTTTTTTTAGGCAATACCTTTTGACCTTCAAGGTCAATTATACCATTCTACTTCCTGATTGTTGCTGTAAATTCTTGGTCGATACAATTATCGTAAATGGTGATCTAAGTAAAAGAAAAAAACTTCATTAACCTACAAAGAGATTTCATTTGTATCTAAAAAATCTAACAGTATTATACAATAAATATTTGTCTGTTATTAATTAATGAATATAGATGCTGTGAATATGTTATTTAAATATTTAAGGTTTTTGGCAATAAAAGCAGCAAGGTTAACTCTGTCTTTTGATTTTGTGAAAAAATGATCGGCAGTTAAGAATAGTCTATGTTTGTACTATCATGCTTGCCGAGACAGGAATCTGCCGATAGAGACCTGACAGCATTTCTCACTTTGGCCGTGATACAACCAGTGACTGACAGGGTAGAACCATTACGTGAGATTACATGTCTAGACAATCTCTCTCATACTTCCCATTCCCTGTCATCCTCAAACACTTGCAGCGTCTGTCCCTGTGTTGACGCTAGACATGTACATACAAATATCTCCAGTTTTGTCATGAGCTACACAGCCTCTGAGCTTGATTAGCGCTGGCCTTTTGCTATGATCTACAATTTTATAATTACGACTAAGAAAGGTCTATAATTACAGTTCACCACTGTGTAACCTTGGTTTCAAATGTGCAAAACGTAAGTTACAAAAAGTGTAAAGACGTGAGCTTTAGTTAATGTAAGAGTGAAAATGCTCACGTATGTTGTGACCCTTTTAACCTATCCCAGTGTGGAAATGTTTACGTTGTCAATAGTTCTGAAATCTATGTATCCTATTTATCTATAACCTAGAAATGAATATTTGCATGTGGGTATTTTAGCACTAATTTACTCAATACCCAAAACACATTGAACATTTCCACACCTTACAGTATTTTACGTCAGGTTGGGACATAGAAGATATAGAACATGGTCTACCTCCAAGTTAGATTGCAGTTTATGCGTGAATTTGATGAGTTAAGCTGTACGTCATGCGTTTGATGGACCGATATCTCTGGATAGGCCGTGGAATGTTACAAAGTCTAGTTGCTGTTCCATCCAGTGTTATACATATAATTACAACATTTAACACTGACCAGTATACAAAGGCAGAGTACACAGACTTGTGTTTGTACTCCTACGGCAAACTAATTTTATGTACTTGGAATATGAATTAATTAGCACTTGTCAACACTGACCACTGCAGACGTTTTGAGATCAATCATCACCTGTAAGGACACTCTATAGATCTACATAACTTTATAATTTGTTTGATATTATATGTATACTGATTTGAGTGTTTTGATGTTTCTATAATAGTTGCCATGAAGCAACTCCCTTGCTAGGCAATTCTTGTCATGTCCATCAAATATTACCAATAGCAAAACACATCTGTAGGTGTTAGACAATCCTTGCCAAGTCTTCAAATACACAATGCACCGTTGCTAGACAATCCTTGCCATGTTTTCAAATACACAATGCACCGTTGCTAGGCGATCCTTGCCAAGTCTTCAAATACACAATGCACCGTTGCTAGACAATCCTTGCTATGTCATGCACACACTGTATCGTTGCTAGGCAATCCTTGCCATGTCCAGTACACAATGTATCTTTGCTAGGCAAACCTTGCCATGTCCAGTACACTATATATCGTTGCTAGGCAATCCTTGCCATGTCCAGTACAAAATGTATCATTTCTAGGCAATCCTTGCCATGTCCAGTACACAATGTATCGTTGCTAGGCAAACCTTGCCATGGTCACTACACAATGTATCGTTGCTAGGCAATCCTTGCCATGTCCAGTACACAATGCATCGTTGCTAGGCAATCCTTGCCAAGTCTTCAAATACACAATGCACCGTTGCTAGGCAATCCTTGCTATGTTCAGTACACAATGTATCGTTGCTAGGCAAACCTTGCCATGTCCAGTACACAATGTATCGTTGCAAGGCAATCCTTGCCATGTCCAGTACTCAATGTATCGTTGCTAGGCCATCCTTGCTATGTCCAGTACACAATGTATCATTGCTAGGCAAACCTTGCCATGTCCAGTACACAATTTATCGTTGCTAGGCAATCCTTGCCATGTCCAGTACACAATGTATCATTGCTAGGCAAACCTTGCCATGTCCAGTACACAATTTATCGTTGCTAGGCAATCCTTGCCAGGTCCAGTACACAATATATTGTTGCCAGGCAATCCTTGCCATGTTCAGTACAAAATGTATCGTTGCTAGGCAATCCTTGCCATGTCCAGTACACAATGTATTGTTGCTAGGCAAACCTTGCCATGTCCAGTACACAATGTATCGTTGCTAGGCAATCCTTGCCATGTCCAGTACACAATATATTGTTGCCAGGCAATCCTTGCCATGTTCAGTACAAAATGTATCGTTGCTTGGCAAACCTTGCCATGGTCTCTACACAATGTATCGTTGCTAGGCAATCCTTGCCATGTCCAGTACACAATGTATCATTGCTAGGCAATCCTTGCCATGTCCAGTACACAATGTATCGTTGCTAGGCAATCCTTGCCATGTCCAGTACACAATGTATGGTTGGTAGGTAACACATGTTATATCTACTGCTTTAGTTTCAAGTTCCCATGCCAAACACATTTTTTGTTGATTGTTAAGTCCACTGCAAAGATTCTGTTGTCAAGGAAAGTCTTTTTCATCAACCATATATATTCTCTGGTTGAGGAAACATAGTCTTACAAGTTCTGTTGGAAACGGAGATACCAACAAACCTGGAATACTCCTACATGAAGGCTGCTAAAGAAATATCCCCTTACATATATGTTGCCTAGGAGAGACAATGTTTTAGGTTGTGATGCTGGGAGAGGTGTCACATTGTTGGGTTCAGTATCTAGGTGGCTGCCATTGGCTATAACACTGTGTACAGCAATGGAGATTTGACTTTCACCTAATAACCTGGTTCTTAAAATGGTTCCATGCCCATCAAACTGGTGACGTCAACCGGAAGTGGTTTCCACGTCCACAATATTTGCATGATAGTAAGGTAGTGGTTGCTATGCCTATTAAATGTCTGGTGTGGGAAGTTGAAATACAACTGAGATCAGTTGGTGCAGATGTGTAAGTCCCCACGGCTTGTACCTGAGGGAATACCACTGTCTACCTGACTTCCTGACTCCTCATAACCATGACTTCCGGGAATGGCACATTGAAAGCCTACATATCCCATGAATGCAGTAGTCCGCGGAATGTCATCAATATCTAATCCTTCAGAAGATGCCACTGCGCTACCTGTTGTCGTGGCTTTGTGATCATATCAGTCCAATGTCTCGACTCTAAAGGCCCACTGCGGCTGCCAAGAAATATTTTACCGATCATTTCATTACGGCCCAGTTTGTCGAAGTCCATCACGGTCACTTCTATGCTTGCTTCACGTATCTTTTCCCAGGGTATCTCATAGATGAAGGATTCATTATACACAGGGTTCAAAGTCCGCATCTTTATAGACGTCTTCTTCTTTTCCACCTTCGTGGTCCCATACATCAGCCACAACTTTACGTAGGGATCTGAAACACAGAAAGATATAATATATAAGGGTCTAGAACATACTGGAACATGGTGTATAAGATATGCTTTATACAAGGTTTCTAGTGTGATGAACAGTGAAACTTGATCTAAGGATCCCCGTACCACTGCCAAAAAATATGGAGCTACCTGGTCAACAGAAGATGCCTTGAGAAACTGTACTATATACTACAGTCAGTTAAGGGGAGGTTACTGTATACAGGAGAAAACACACTGTAGTGGAACTGTACTACAGTCAGTTAAGGGGAGGTTACTGTATATAAGAGAAACGCACTGCAATGAGACAGGGATCCTTAACATACAAACTATTTGAAGGACACCTTGTAATATATATCTGGTAGGATTTTCTAGCCCTTAACCCTTTCACCAGTGTAGACCATAATGGAGTAGTCCAGATCAATGAATGGTAAGTTAACTAATGCTGCGAAGGGGTGATAGAGTTAACCGTGGCTAAAATTACAGACACACTTCTGTTTATATCAAAATCATGTGTCTTACATATGCTGAAGTTGGCAAAAAATGAAGGGGAAAAACTGTGCTAAAACGTCCTGTTTGTGGAAGCATTTTACTCACATCCTATGTTGTTTGAAAGATACCCTGTTTATTGTGTTCTAGAAATTTCTCCTAATTACTGAGTTGTAGATGTCCCTGTTTATTATGTTTCAGATTTAACACTGGAGAGTAGTGTGCTTCCACCAGGGATTGAACCCGCTACCTCAGACTCCCTAGTCCACCACTCTACCTCAGACTCCCTAGTCCACCACTCTACCTCACTGAGCTCAAGGGAAATTGCCACTAACTCGAAGTTAGAAGGGGACAATAATCCTATGTTTAATTAAAATCTGCCACACAGAGATGCCCCTGCTAATTACTGACATGTAGGGATGCCCTCCTCCTCCTTTGTGTTCTAGAAATTCCTCCTACTTGTTGAGTTCTAGAGAAGTTTTATTACAATAAACTGAATGCTTGTATGTTTGATAAAATCCTAAGATTCCCTGATCAGATGTGGAAAGGGATTGGGTCACCTCCCTGACCCCGAGGGTTTTCTCTGGGTACTGATCAGATGTGGAAAGGGATGGGGTCACCTCCCACCTCCCTGACCCCGAGGGTTTTCTCCGGGTACTCCCGATTCAATCCTCCCACATTGGTTTAATGCTGAAAAAAGTTGATATGATCAGTTCATTTTAACTTGGGTGATAGTAACATTATAAGGGTAGAGTAACATAAGATTCGTTCTTGGGATTGCTGTGTCACAGTGTTTAATGTACGGGAGTTTTTTTCCATCTCTGGTAATATTTTTACAATTTTACTTTGTTTGTTGATATTCTGATTTGCTATGGTATGGAATAACAAAGCTATATTCTATTAATCAACTTCAAAATATTCGAATATTACAGAGTATATCATTAAAGAATGTTGTTGATCTGTGCCTGCATTTCTTTACGCGATAGCTATGTACTTAAATCACAGGCACTTTACAATTCCATTCTCATTGGTGTATCTACATATAAATTTATAATAACATTGAGATACAAAAAAAAGAAAAAGACAGCCAACGCTGTTGGTATTATGAATGTAAATTTAATCAACGAACTCCTAGAAGAAAATTTAAAATATTTCGTTATTTGCTGAGGGTGAATAATTGATTTACAAGTCCACTGCAGTCACACCTAGGTATCTGTGAACTGTACTCTAGCTTCTAATACAGCTGAAGTGAACACACATTAATTATCTAACTCCCGCTAAGACTTCTATCCAAACCTTGTCTTAACATATTACCTCTGGGTATAGAGTTTCAAATTAAGATAAAATATTCTTTGTTAAAAATGTTGTTGACACTTTATATACTGTGTAATGTTAAGGTGGTGTTAACAGAAAAGTTAGGTTAGGTACGTGATGGATAACCTAAATACCTTAGACGAGAATCCCATTTGTTACAAAAATTTAATGAAAAATGTTTTTAAAACCCCTTCTAGCAGTAAAGGATAACAACATTACTTTTCTGCTTTGACATTTTTCTTTCTTCCAATTCCCTGAAGTTAAATTGAAAAGACATAGGAAAACTAATGTCTTACATCTTCATTGCCTTTCTTGAGCTCTGTACCGAACAAATCCTCGAACCGCTTTATAGAACAGTAATCTAATGTCAATAAGTCCATCGGAGTTAATGAACTTTCCCTGACAGATCAGCTTGAGTTTTAGATTGACTGAAGTCTCTTTCTGTCTAAAACCAGCAATTGAACATCTCCCTTAAACCACCACTGTCAAACAACTACTCTTTATTTTATTTTTGCCCTTTCTGTCTTTCACCTTTGAAGAAGATGGCAAATACAACATTAAGCAATTTTCTTCATTTTGTCAGCCTTAAGCCACATAGAACCACTTGTTTTGTAGGTCTGAACAATGCAGGACACCCTTTTGGACCCCTTGTTCTATTAGAAGGTCCTGAGCCATGTGGAACCACTTGTTTTGTAGGTCTGAGCAATGCAGGGTCCCCTTGTAGACCCCTTGTTCTATAGGGAAGTCCTGAGCCATTTGAAAGCCCTTGTTTTGTAAACCCACAGCAATATGGGACCCCATTTGTCAGTCCAAAGCCATTGGGAGCACCACTTGTTTTGTAGCCATTTAGAACTCCTTGTTTTGTCAGTCTTGAGCAATGTGGGTTGACAACACCCAAAATACATTTATATTGGTTAACACTTTGACATCAAGTAGGATACTTTGCAACAGCATCATGATATTTTGATGTCATGTTTCATAGTAATTTCCAATCGAATCAGGGACAAAACTCGCCAACTTGCAAGCAAGAATTTGGTTTCCTTGTAATATAATATACACAAGAGGTTCCCTACCTAATGATGATTGCAGGTTATCCTGTTGCTCCAACTCCCATTACAAATATGACAAAATGTTACTATAGTTTGTACAACCTGATACAAAGTAATCAAATGTCATCTGTCCATCGAAATTGGATCAGCTATTATTAAAAACAATACGATAAACAAAGGACTATCATACTGATTGTACTACTGTTTACTCAATTTTTTTTGCCGCAGTTTGACTTTTGCCATTTTGCCCTTTTTTGCCCTCCGTAATGAGGGAGAATTAATCATTTCAGCATAAACATATTAATTAAATGTAAAGTCGAAATTAACACTGGGTGAAAATTGATTTCATGGGTGAGAGTGAAAGTTTGACTGGGTGAAAATGTCCTGGTATACAGTAGGAACAAAATACAGCTGTCCTTTTTGTTCATTTTTAATTCAGATCAATATCTAGAAACAATTAGTAGCTGTTATTTCGACTTTTACTGAGATGTGTTTATACAAAATGTTTTTAAAATCAATTTTCGTTTGTGAACTAAATTGGAAACATCTGTCATTATCATGAGAGTTGAAGGAGATAAAACCACCGAAGAACACAGCCTTACATCTTCAACACTTCCGTATTATATATAGCATTTCCCTAGCAATACCAGATTTTCATTAGAATTCTAGTCTGACCTTCTGCGTCTCGCTCAAAGCAATATATCCCCGAAACATGTATGTTGTTCCAAGGCGAAGTTACTGTTGATTACCCCTATTTAATACAGAATAATCACAAATACAATTAATTGACACTCAAATCTCCCTGGTCACCATAGCAACTGATTTCCAAATGTTTCCATAGTTTTCGAAAAGACAACATCTATCTTGGAAATCGTGTCAAGTCTGTTCTTATAGTGAAAGGAAGAGTAATAAATACAGGTTTATTTGGTTTATAAATAAAGACCACTTTCCGAGTAGAAAGGTCTTTATTTAGATGTGATGTTAAAGATGGATGGTAGCCTGCTGTGACATGGAGACTTAAGGATGTATGGTACCTAACTGTGACATGGAGACTTAAGGATGTATGGTACCTTACTGTGACATGGAGACTTAGGATGTATGGTATCTTACTGTGACATGGAGACTTAAGGATGTATGGTACCTTACTGTGACATGGAGACTTAAGGGTGTATGGTACCTTACTGTTACATGGAGACTTAATGATGTATGGTACCTTACTGTTACATGGAGACTTAAGGATGTATGGTAGCTTGCTGTGACATGGAGACTTAAGGATGTATGGTACCTAACTGTGACATGGAGAGTTAAGGATGTATGGTACCTTAGTGTGACATGGAGACTTAAGGATGTAAGGTACCTTACTGTTACATGGAGACTTAATGATGTATGGTACCTTACTGTGCCATGGAGACTTAAGGGTGTATGGTACCTTACTGTGACAGGGAGACTTAAGGATGTATGGTTCCTAACTGTGACATGGAGACTTAAGTATGTATGGAACCTTACTGTGACATGGAGACGTAAGGATGTATGGTACCTTAGTGACATGGAGACTTAAGAATGTCTGGTACCTTACTGTGACATGGAGACTGTGACATGGAGACTTAAGAATGTATGGTACCTTACTGTGACAGGGAGACTTAAGGATGTATGGTACCTTACTGTGACATGGAGACTTAAGAATTTATGGTACCTTACTGTGACATGGAGACTTAAGGATGTATGGTACCTTACTGTGACATGGAGACGTAAGGATGTATGGTACCTTAGTGACATGGAGACTTAAGAATGTATGGTACCTTACTGTGACATGGAGACTTAAGGATGTATGGTACCTTACTGTGACATGGAGGCTTAAGGATGTATGGTACCTTACTGTGACATGGAGACCTAAGGATGTATGATACCTTACTGTGACATGGAGACTTAAGGATGTATGGTACCTTACTGTGACATGGAGATGTGGGACAACTGACAAACATACTTATTAATGTAGTTGTCAAACAATACATTTAGCATGAACTTGTTGAAAAAATTAAAATCATTTTTAACTTTGGTTGATAATTTGTAGACAGCTTTGTTTGCTTAAGTAAAGCTACTGCATTAATGTTAAAAAGAAATAAAAAAAAATCATGACCATTAAAGACTTTGGG